CATCTCCCTACCCCCACCTCCCTGCAGCCACTGCATGGTACCACGTGCAAGTCTCCTGGTGACCTAGAAGTGAGAGGCTCTGAAACCCAAGGCCACCCCCTTCCCCCACTTCCCTTTCTTTCCTGCTCCTTCTTACCTCCTCTTGTATAAAACAACATTTATTCCACTGAAGGGAATTAGATCAGGTCCTTTGTTCTGATTAGTTTATAGTATTAGTAGGAGCAGAAATCAAGGAGTTCTCACTATTTTTTTTTTAAGACGGCTGTTTCAAATAACCCCAACTAGCGTTCCTCAAAGCATGCGTGTCTATGCACATATATACACATGTATACGTATACATATAAAAATAATGGGATGCAATTTCTTAAAAAAAAGGGGGGGAGTGTTTTTCAATCTGAGAATGAGATCTGAAAACACCGAGACAAGTGCAGGTGAGACTTCCAAAATTCACATTTTTCAACTGAAAACTCCCATGAATTCAAGGTTTTCACCAGTATTGCATATGAACAGCTCTCCCTTCCTACAAAAGTCAAATCTAATAACAAAGAAAAACCTTTCACAGGGTGTTAATTCATGATTTCAACAAGCTAAGGATCCTGGTCACCTTTTTTCAAAATATGACTGTTGGGGGTGGGGCAGGGGGGGTCACTTTGCTAGCACAACTGCTTTGCTATCAATGCTCCTATTTATTTAGAATCAACTTCTCTAGCTTCCTTAGGAGTTTTGGCTGATCTACATTAAAAAGCCGTCAGACAGCACTGCAGAAAGTAGCCATTAAAAACTTATGTAGTCCATGGGTGAAATCAATGTCCAGCCTGCAGACCAGGTCCAGCCTGTGGCACTATGATCTGGCCTGTGGGGCTCCCCACAGGTTCAGAGACTTGGTAGTTGGGCAGCAGTGACACCACTCCCCTGCAGCCAAATCTCTGACCCCCTGGGAGCTCCAGGCCCTGTGTGCTGGATTCAGCACACAATCCCAGCATGGAGGGCCAAGAGAGGCAGCACCGGGTATGGGGGCCAGGAGGGGACAGTGTCAGGCCCCCAGGACCCAATCCCAGCACATGGGAGAAGGGTGGAAGCAGTGCCAGACTCCAATTGGGCCCACAAACAGGCCCTGTGCCACTCATCTGGCCCACGGGGCCAAAAGGTTGAGCACCACTGGTCCATTCCACGTGGCATCTATTTATCCCCTACGCTAGCCATGTCAGATACCATAATTACCATGAGCACATTTTTTTTCAACAACAAAAAAGTTTGGGGATTAAACAGGCTGTGTGATCCTTAGCTATTCTGCATGTCACTGTGGTGTTGGTTTGTTAAAGGCAGTTTTTCCTTTCTAGCAAAATGCACAAACCCACGTCAAGAGCATAGAAAGCACTCAGGAGTCCAAGACTATTTTTCCTAGTGACCAATATTTTCCCAAATAACAATCTATATGCAATTAGGTCACATTCAAAGCAGGCATCGGTGCATGGGTTGAGCTGCCCCATTTAGAGAAACTTCACGCTTCTATCGCCTCAGGAACTGTCCTCTTTTAGCAGAGTCTCTGATCCTCCTGCCTTCTTTTATCAGCACCTTCAAAAGAAAAACGGCACCATAATTCCTTTCTCAACTTGCTTCAGAGAAAGGGTAAAGCGGCTGTTCTTTTCCATTTAGCA